ATTAGCTATGCAATAATATGTTCAAACAAGAAGTTTTAAACATATACACAAAGATACATGCATGCATATATATATATACATATATACATATATATATATATATATATATATATATATATATATATACATATATATACATATATATATATATATATATATATATATATATATATATACATATATATACATATATATATATATATATACATATATATATATATATATATATATAATATATACATATATATATATATATATATATATATATATATATATATATATATATTTGAATAGATAGAATGGAAGGCAGATAGATAGAAAGATATATAGATAGAGAGACAGACAGGCGAATAAATATATAGCTAAATGGTTAGATAGAACTATGAGAAAGGAAAGGAAAAAAAAAATGGAATCGCAGTCCTTGTAAATACTGGCTCAGTGAATCTCTTTTCGATCAAACCTCGATCGGAAATATATATAGTAATGATAACAATAATACTTTTCCGCAGCCTTTAATCTGACTTTTTTATCTGTCTTTTACTTGGGATATCTTGATCATCCTCATCAGTTGCCGGTATCACATATCCATACCCTGAAGCAGAATATTCATTTGCATTATTGTTATTTTATTTCAATTATCGTCATCACCTATGCTTAAGGGCAGGTCTCTTTCTTGAGATCAGTGTAATATCCTACGTACGTTATACCGTTATGTTTATGTGGTATTTGTATCACAGGATACGAAACACACAAGAGAGGACTAATCTACTGAAGTAAAACTAGATCAACTATGCTTTGCTTAGTTAGAGTTAGGTCAGCTGGGTCTCAGTAAGTTAAAGTGAAGTCAGCTGTAGTTCAGTAAGTTTAAAAATGGTCAGCTGGAGATCAGCAATTTAAAGTTAGGTCAGCTGGAGTTCAATACATCCAAGTTAGCGGGATCACAACACGTCAAAGGAAGGCCAGTTAGGTCAAAAGTTAGGTCAGCTGAAGCACAGAACATCAGAGTTAAGTTAGATCAATGAGACTTCAGAATTGGATCAGCTGTTCTGTAGTATAAATTCGAGGCTAGAGCAGCTGTAGTTCAATTCATCCGGATATTACCACAAACTATATAGATAAGTGTAATGATAATAAAGATGAGGAAAAAAATGGTGATGATGATAATGAGAGAATAATGACTATAGTGGAAATGGTAATGATACTAATAACAATGGTAATAATGCCGATCGTAACCAGGACTCTAATGGTGATATTGACGATAACTGAAATAAAATGGCGTGAAGGCGAATATCTTTAAGACGATGATATTGATAATATTGCTATTAATACTAATGACGATAATGAAGATAATAGTGGTAATGACACTAACAATAACAGAAAGGATGATAATGATGATGATAATACTAATAACAACGACTGTAATAACAGTAATAATAATAACAATAAGAATGATAATAATAATTATGACAATAATAATGACAAAGTTAAGAACGACAACAATAATAATGATAGATATAACAATGATAGTAAGAATGATGATACTACTAGTAATAATAATAAAAATAGTAACAACAACAACAATAATAATAATAATAATCATTATAATAATAATGAAAGTAATAAATATAATAATAATAATGATCACAGCAACAGAAAACAACAATAATAATAATGAGAATAGTAATAATAATAATAATAATAATAATAACAATGGTACTACTAGTAATATTATTATCATAATCATTAATGATAGATGTAATAATGATAATAATAATGGTACTGTTACTATTACTACCATTGATACTAATATCAATTGTAATGATATTGATAATGATAATGAAAGTAATATAATTTATGTTAATGAGGACAGCATGTATCAATTATAATGACAATAATAATAATGATAGGAATAATAACAATATTAATAATAATATTAATAACAATGATAATAACAATAGCAACAACAATAATGATAATATTAATAATAGTAATACTACTACTACTAATAATAATAATGATAATAAGTACAATGATAATTACAATAATAGTAACATCAATAATGACGACAACAAAAATTATTATGATAATGATAATAGTGATTACGATTATGTTGAGTATAAGAGGGTGTACTACTAATATTAACCATAGGATAAAAAAGAGTACTCATACAACAGATTCCATCTTAAACCAGTCGGCAAAGATGTCAAGAATACATGCCATACCCACTGTCATAATAGTTTTTTTTTTTATTGTATTTACACATAGATGGCTCTACAAGTGCTTAATCACCAAGGAGTTCGTTATTAGTCCTACTTATTTCACCTGTTTACCCTTTCCTTGACTTTTGGAAAGGGTCTTTTGTATTATTTCATTGTCTTAAACGTTATCAAGATATTCAATAACAATTTAATAGTCATAACATCAATAACAATAATAACAGTATCGATATGAACTGTATAAAAAAGAAAAACACTTTTTCCCGCCAATTCAATGACTGGGGAAATCAAGATCGGTCACTAGGGCCTACCGATAGACTCCTTACCGTCTGAGCACACATGAAGCCATCGTATGCAACGATAACATCCGAGGAACAGGTTTTGACGGCATTGCACTTCCATGGATCTTGCAAGATGAACCTCAACAATGAACCTGTTTTCGACTGGCTATGAGGCCGTTTGTGCTGGACTAAGCGATAACACTGGATGGTGTATGCAGTAGTTGTAAACCTTTGTGAATGTGTTTTATTCAAAGAAAAAAAAATGGTGTCTGCGGGGACAAAGAACTATTGGTGCATCTAGTATAAAACAATGAAATCTTTCTTATCCAAAAATGTAGAAGAAAAAAAAAATTAAAAGGGTTAATTAGCACTTTTTTCAACGAAACGTTTCGTAAAGGAGACGGGAATCTAAACATCTTCAGGGAATTCACCGAGTTAGAAAATAACTTTTGTCTCTCATGAGCCAACGTGTCCGTGTCGAGGAAACAGACACAAAGGAGGGACTGAGGCGTGAACAAGGGGGGACGAGACACCCGTATATAAGGAGGCTAACAGGTATCCAGTCTCACTGCATCTTCTACACTGACCCTGATAACACAATTTTAGAATATCATAAACCTTAAAGTAAGAATATTTGAAATTTTTCATCCTGGGGATATCAAAATGGTTTTAAGCGTTTTCTTTATATAAAAGGATTGTTTGTACTTTAATATCTTTATTTCTTTAAGATGCGTAGTATTGCGGTGATCGTCCTCTTGGCAGCGGTGGCTATGAGTCTTCAGGCAACAGCAGCCCAGAGAAATCTTAAGTACTCCGAACGTGAGGTAAGTGTTAAACTCTTGGTGGTATAGATTTTGAAAATAAACGGATTTTTTTTCTCGTTTTAAGCAATTTACGCTTGAAGAACAAACTCCCAGAATCTAAGACTCTAATTTAAAGTCATTTTGAAAGCCGTTATTACATACTACTCTGCAATGAAACCATCAGGCGGTGTTCGAGTTAGCGGCCCAGATCCTGCGCGTGGCTCAGGGACCCTCGGCCTTCGTCGGGGGCCCTCACAAGCGCAACTCGGAGCTGATCAACTCCCTCCTGGGGATCCCCAAGGTCATGACCGACGCCGGAAGGAGATAGACAATGAGGGGAAATCTACTGTAGAATGTTAGGAATTTGTGAATTTTAGCATCGTCCAATCTGTTCTACGATAATAATAACGATAATGATAATGAAAGTAATAGGGATAATGATAATGACCCCAATGGCAAACAGAAATGTAATTGGTTATGATAAAAATCAAAATGATAACATTTATGGCATGCATAACAGTGATGATAACATCAAAAGCATTATATTTTTTTCCTTAACTTATTTACTTACATTTGGTTTTATTTATGATCATGGATGTCATAAGTCCCATTAATTCCCATAACATTAAATATTTTATGTCTTGATAAAACAAATGTTACAACACTGACCTTGTTTTATATTTGTTTTCTGAGATGATGAATAAAATATATCACTTGAATGTACTGACTGTAATATACCAATTTCTTTAATATCTACATTATTTTTTATTTTGCACGTGTAGTTTCATATATCCATCTATCTATCTATATTACACACACGCGCAAATGCACACACACACACACACACATATACACACACACACACACACACACACACATATATATATATATATATATATATATATATATATATATATATATATATTGTGAGGTGCTTTCGCTCTGTGGCTATTGGTATATATTTTAATGTGGGTTCACAGTGTCTAGATGTTTTGTGGTAGCGTGAAAACATCTAGACACAAATAAGCAAACAAAAAGAAAAAAAAGAAAGAGAGACCGAGCATAATCATCGACTCCTTAAGGTTCAGCCTATGGACATGATATATATTCATATATTCATTATTTACTCATAGGAAAGGGCAAAGTAAAAAGCTTAAGGGCATCTCGAAAAAATAATAAAATAAATTATGTAATTATGATTTAATTGATTAAAAGACACGAAAAACTAAGAAGACAAACAAAGGATCACGTCCAGCTCCTCAAAAAAACAACATCGTCAGCACACAAACTTAACTTTTCTCGGTTTCGGGGGGGCGTGGCCGCTTCACAGCTTTCCCGCGCACACAGGGGTATCTGGTCTCAACTGAGTATATTTGGCGCCTACTACTATTGCGATTTGCGAAGTTCTAGCTTCGCCCGGGCCTTTGGCTATGGCCCGGCCTGATTTGGCTTCTTTTTTTACTTTTTTACTTTTGTTGGATTTCTTGGCTATCAACCAGCGGCATGTGGCCAAGGTTATTAAGCCAATGGATCCTATTTATTCTATCAATCTATATAAGGTCATAAAGTTTTGTCTCCCTTAGAAAAGCAATTACTTTTTGAATTATTTTTTCATTG